GCCTTTCGGAAACTTCAGGAACCTTGTTCCGTTTATGTTGCTGAGCTAGCAGCAATCAACTTTGCATTGGGGATGATTTCCGATATGCCCATAGACCATTACTTCATCTTCTCGGATAGTCTCAGTTCGATTGAGGCTATTCGGTCGATGAAACAAGGTAGGCACTCATCTTATTTCCTTTCAAAGGTAAGGGAGCAGATGAGTTTGCTGGTCGAAAGATCATATATGATTACCTTTGTATGGGTCCCCTCACATTGCTCAATCCCAGGCAATGAGAAGGCAGACTCTCTCGCAAAGGTGGGCGCACAACAAGGCGAGATTTATGATAGAAGACTTTCACATGATGAATTTTTCCCATTAGTACGTCAGAGTTCTCTTTTAAGTTGGCAAAACGATTGGACAAGTAATTCTCTTGGGCGGTGGTTACATTCCATTATTCCAAATGTTTCTTCGAGAGCGTGGTTCAAAGGTCTGGATGTAAGTCGGGGATTCATTCGAGTGATGTCAAGACTTATGTCCAACCACTACTCGCTAGACGCACATCTCTATAGAATAAACCTCGTTGACAGCAATATATGTAGGTGCAGAACCGGTTATGATGACATCGATCACGCAGTTTGGTATTGCCCGGGTAATGACGCCTCCAGAGCACGACTATTGGATACCCTAGTGGCCCGAGGTAGACAACCCTTCCGTGAAGTAAGAGATGTATTGGGAACTCGTGATCTTCCCTACATGCAAGCGATCTACGAATTCCTTTGTTTGTCTGATGTTAGAGTTTGATGTGACCATCCCATCCTTTCCAAACAATTTCCCGCCATTGTGTCCCAGTCTTATTATCCTCCTGTTCCTGTGCTACTTGCCCCTGCCCAGCCAGGATTTGGTCAACCGTCCGAGAGTAGTATCTGAAGGAGGCTTCAGAAACCAGTTTCCTACCTAGCTCCTTCCCATCGAAATTGTTACCCATTAACCTCGAGCCCGCCACGAGTAATTGGTACCCAATACTAACCTAGAACTACTGCTATTTAAAATGTAAAATCAAACATTACTGATTTTGGCTCCGCAAAGTGTCACACACGACTGAGCCTAGTAAATAAACGAACTAGTAAAAAAAAAGTGACTCCAGTGTACTATTAGCGGTTAATTTACGGATTTTGATTCAAAGTGTTGAGAAATTGACGAACGTTTTTATTTTGAAGTATTTGATTTACTGCTGATGTGCTGACTAGAGTCGGATAAGAGATTTGTTGGTGAAAAAGGTGTATAAAGGCTATAGCGGAAACGCCATGTTGTAGGACGCCATGACATAACCTCACAAAATGACAGATCCAACAAAGAAAAGCCCGGATCTATCCGGGAAAAAGTATGACATATGTGAATGCAACCAAACCGACAATGCCCCATATCGGATTATTGCCGAACTTGAAGAAGGTCAAGGAACTTGCAAAAGCAACAAACTGACGCTAGGAAAGAATACTAAAAACAACGTCACCAGCATGAGACCCCTGGGACAGAAGAAAGTGTTGATTTTTGTCAAGAATTTTGAAGTGGCCAACAGACTGTAGAAAGACACGAAATTGAAGGAACAGAGGTACAAGCTAGCTGTATGTTCCCAGAAGCTTATTTTCAGTCACTGGAGTTGTGGCTGGAGTTCCTACCGTTATGACCGTGTAGGAAATCAAGGAAAACATGCAAAGCCTAGTTCCAATCTTTCGGAGAAAAATCCGCCTGCGGCTGAAAATCTCGATAATAAAAAAAAAGTTCCAATCTTGGCTGTTAACCGGCTTCACCGCTTCGTCGACAATGTGAAGCAAGCTGCAAAAGAAAGTAAAAACAATAGTTAAAAACTCGAAACAGACGGATAAATACAACCCAAAGTTCTGGTGGAGCGAAGAGGTTGAATCGGTTTGGTAGGTAAAAAACGAAGCCAAAACTCGTTAGAATGCAAAAAGGCAGAATGTCTATTGAACCGGGTGAGAACGGTCCAGAACTGAAAAATTCAACAAATTCGTCAAATCTATAGATCCTTCCACACCGTCCAAACTTATATCGAGTGACATAAGAAGACTTACATGCAGACAGAAAAACAGAACAGGTAATGTTTTGATTCATGAGGATAGGAGTTTAGCAATACAGTTCACGGACAAGCATTTTCCACTAGAGGACTGGACCAATACAGAGTCCAGTCAGTATTCAACAGATCACGACATCATCAACAGCGAAAAATGGAGCTACCACAGACAAACAGATATAACGTATTGAACATTTCTCACTGTAAAAAATCGTCGCTTAATTACTACCACCATCTGTTTAGTTCACTGTAACTGGTAGTACACTCAACAGGTAGTAAAGATTACAGCAATTAGGCAGGACACAATTAGGTCTCAAGGATGGTATATGAACTACACGCCGGAGCTAGGAAAAGGATGAAAATACTTCGCAGTCCAAAATACAATCCCTGAAAAGCCATTTCACCACGGACTGGCTTTGGAAAACAGTGAGGTTCACACTTTGAATAGGATTTTTTCGGGACACGACTACTCTAGATATGGTCTATAACGGGTGTTCAATAAAAAAATGAGAATTTTTTCAGTCATATAGCCAGTAAAAAAAATTGTTTTTCAACGAATTCAGTATTTTTTTTTATTGAAAACATTAGAGTCGGTGTATAATGAGTCACGCCAAGAGTGAAGCCAAGTCTACTTATTGAACTGTCAAACCGGCTACCTATCGCGCAAAGTACACAAACATTACGATGCTATGAAAGATCCACGAAAGGTATTGCAATAAAATAAAAAATATAATCGAAGAAATGATCATAAACACGCATTGAGCAATAAATTGTCATGGGATACGTTTGGTAATGATCACTTATGAGAATTTTTACTATTTTTGGTTAAGATAATTTGACTAAATCACTGATATAATGATTTACTAAAGCCGCTATATTTGTTCTCGCTGGAAGTCATTTGAAGTTGATGTAGAAGTCCTCTGTTGCAAAGTGAAAAGAAAGGGAATCTTTCGAAACCCGTGATGCGAGTTCAACTGTATTTCTCTTGGCGTGACTCATTATACACCGACTCTAGAAAACATAATGTTTATTCTTCAAAAAAATGTCAATGAATATTGGAGACCTGTTCAGTCGTACGACGCAACTTAGTCGAGATGCTCTCACAAGAGCGCTGGACGGCACTGAAATCGTTCTCATTTTTTATTGACCACCCGTTATAAGATACAAATTGAAAGTGATTGTCTATCGATATCTGCGATGAAAAGAAGATGCTAAGCATTTAAGAAAAAACTACAAGGGACAGCCCAATGGGGTTGTACGCAATGATGACGTAGGACTACGTGGTATGATATAATAATATAATGGGCCGATGGTAGTACAGACTTAAAGCCTTTGGAAGATGATTATGACGTGTAGGCGGCTCTCTGGGGATTGGTAGTAAAGCTAAGTGGTTAAAAAATGTATGAGAAAAAAACCTTTTTTTATTTAATTCTAGCTTATTTAACAAAAATTTCCAGGAAAAACTGAACGACAAAGTCCATAAACGATTTCTTTAGGTTGTCGTCAACTTTTTTTTGGAAAGCTATGTGAAATTCACATGATTTTCATGCATTACATATGTGATATTTTTTTTGAGTGTATGCCCTGTTTCCAAGTTTGGTTACAAGATTACAACTCTGTGTGGTCGTTGGGAGCGTGTGGTTCTGAATATGGCGATGAGTGTGCAAAATATTACGCAATTCTATCCTCCCTATTCGCACGCGCCCGAGGATCGGAGGCGAATGCCACTTCGACTTGTTTCGTCTACTTACTACTCTCTGACGAGTGTGCTGGGGAAGCAGCATATGCATGTTCGTAATTGATGAATTTGTTAATTATTTCGACGCTTTTGGACAATGCTTGACATTTACTACTTTTCAAATAGTTTCTTGTTGAGCATAAACAGTCAAAAGCATTGATATCGATGCGTAAGCGTAGCCCTGATCGATTGGTGATAAAATTATTGAAATTGGTTCAGGGGCAGCTGAGTTATTAACGTTCAAAATCTTTCATATTTTCATAACATGTTCCATTTTCAGTTTTCACAAAGTGTACCCCCATATAGAAATCACAGACGTAGTCCTATGTCAAAAATCTATCTAGATCATGATAGATTTAATGCATTGGAAGAAATTCATGCTACGAAAGATGTACACATTCTAAGAAACGTCACACGGTTCCTCAAAGAAATCAACAAGACATTTTAGGCAAAGTATAAAATAATAACATCACCGAGGTGAGCTGAGAGTCGCAGTTGCCTGTGGCGGCTGTCAGAACTTACAACTTCAAAGAAGAAAAGCCCACGAGACTGGAAAGTAAATAAGCTGACGATATAGCGGTTCTTGTTATGCCAAACGGAGTGGTGTTTCTAAGCACCAAAACAGAGAAACGAAGAAGAAGAAGAAGATCATGTTTTCCGTACTGAGTACCAATGCTACCGACGTCATTTAGGCAGCTCCCACACCTGAACCCTACCTACCGACCCACCAACTCATGGACCGAGGACCAACGTCACTTTGTCGAAACTCTTAGCTATAAGGAGGTGGCACTCTTATCTCTACTAATAACAAGTAGCCGTAGCGAGCATAGGCGCGGGCCCACGCTCTGGGCCCACACGTTTTTATGCTGGCTACGAAAAGAAGGCGGCGCTTAGCTCACCCACGCAAAGTAACAACACCATCATGTTGGAAAAACTATACCCTACCTGATAGTGGTGTTAGTTTGCGTAAGCGAGCCAAAATTTTCGTAAAATTGATGTTTGTATCTTTGTTCAGAAAAGCAGATACGTCTTTTTGAAAATTCAGCCGTCGCTTTGTGCATAGTTCAGGTATCCTATCTGCCGATTTGTTTTCTGTGTAAAACTACAAATTTAGAATTCATTCATCAAAGTCTGTTCCCAAACTATTCTTCAATCTCTAATGACTGTACAACTGCTTCTTCTTATTTCCAGCAAAATTTCTCGATACTCACCATCGGAAGCGGGTAAAATCTACGACAAAGCTATGCAGAGGCGATCTAACACGCTGTTCGATCCCAAGGCTACGATAACCCTGCTGAAGGAAAACCGCCAGGCGACGGCAATCCAGTCGGAGGAAGACCGAGCCGAACTTGTGCAGCGATATCTAGATGTGATTATCTTACAGTTTTGCACCTCAGTTTCAAGATCATCCCATTACAAAAATGCTTTTTTTTTCCAGTTCAAGCAACTGATGCTGCGGCTCGATCCGGACGATCCCGACCTCCTGGATGAGGATGATCGTGCACCGCCAAAGAACTCTGAACCGAATTCGACCGTTACCACTCCGGTGAAGCAAGGCGGCGCCAACAATGCCGGTGGCGCCGACGGAGATAGCAGTGCTACCCCAGTCAGCAACAATGTCGGCGGCGGTGGTGCTCACGCCAACAATGTAAATAGTGCTACTACGGCTAGTAGTCATACGATGCCGGCCAGCACACACACACGGACACCGAAGTCCTCCTCACGGTCGTCGGCAACGACGAATGCTGCGTCCAGTCGAAAATCCCAACCATCGCGAAGTTCTCGCAAAAAGCGACGGAAACTGTCCAGCACGGAGGAGGAGGAAAGCGAAGCTAGTGATATGGATTATGACTAGGCGAAGAGCGACAGCTTCCACCAGACTTTACTCACTGCTAAAACGGAAATACCCGCAAGAGGAAATCGAGATACATTTAATATATTCAATAGTCGTTTAAGCAACAATATCAGAACAAGAGAATGTTTTTGATCCATCACCATACAAAACAAAACAAACAAAAAAAGCGTCTGTGAATGCACATTTTAGAAAAAAAGGAAGATGTTTCGGATGCGCGCCGATTGTAGTGGCCGGATTCAAGCAGAATGTTGGTCTATATGTTTCTGTATGCAATTTTCAACCCGTAGTATTTTCCCCTCGAACCAATTGTTGTGTGAACACTGTTTCATCTTACCATCACACGTCAATGGACGAAAAAAAAACAAACAAACAAACTATTAAGCTATTTACCAATTACCCCTATAGCTACTTTGTCCAAAGGAGAGACCCCTCTGGTATTTGGATTATTCCGTATCGGATTGATTGCATGCAAATCGAAGCCACCCACGTCTAGCTGTGACCCAACACGGTAGGTACACGTTTAGGACGGAACGGCTTTTTCGGAACCAGTATATTTAGGCCGAGAGACAGAGAAAGGCAAAGAAACTGTGAGTTTAGGAATTTTGTGGCATGAGAGATATTAATACGTATGTGTATAGTAGGAAGTGTTTAGGTTCTCGAAAACAAAACGAGACCAAAGCGGACGGTTTCGTTTCTGTTCTGTGTGCGTGTGAAAACTAGTGGGACTTAAATTGGAACAGAAAAGGACCGCTGGATCCCTCAGAAGAAGAAAAAAACTGCGTGTGTAGGAAGATGTTTTATTGCGATATATTTAATTCTAGAACTGTGAGATAGGCAGAGAGAAACGACGGACGTAGAAAACAATAGAATACTTTATCGAGAAATGAAAAAAAGAAAAGAAAAGAAAAAATCACCAGATTCACTGATAAGAGAACATTGAATTTAAAAATATTTAATTTATTCATCAATGCACTATCAACGAGAATGTCGTGAGTGAAGAGTGAATGCGCGCGAAAACTCATGAAGAAACTGGTGAAAATGTATGAATACAAACACAAATAATACGTTTCAGGAGAAACATTTCTTTGTAAGAAAAAAAAAACCGCTTGAAAGTACAGATCATCCTAAACCGACCCCCTCGTGTGAATGTATGAAAGTGTTCGAACCGTGAATGTTGTATTTATCGAATCAGCAATTGTAAATAGTCTTGTAAATATAGAGAAAATATGTTTTTTCCCCTTTCCGAATGTGAGAAAAGATGAGACAAATTTAGTAGTAACCTAAAATCGTTTCAGAGAAAGAAAACCAACCACAAAAAATAAAGCGTTTCGGATGATGAAAAACAAAAACAAACTAATGCAAGAGAAAACAAGGCAGAGACTTTATTTAAAGTGTTTTTAGATAAATTATTTATATGAAAAGAAGTGAAAATGGGAGAGCAAAAAAAATCGGAAACTGAAATCCAGATGAATTTGTAATTTAATTTAGATGTTAAGAAAACAAAGCAAAACAACACAAAAGGAGATAAAAACAAGAAACTGTTTAATCGAAGGATCTTTTTTTTTGTTTTCTTTTTTTATAATTTAAATCAAAGTCAAAAATAATGAAAATACAAAGTAAAACTTGTAGATAATTTAGATGACTGATTTTTGCATTGTTAACAACAAACAATCGAAATCCCTCTGTGTTCCCTTCACCTAACTCAAGCGATTACAACTAGCGTTCGATTGAGGAAGCAACTGTTTTTTGTTTACTTTCTATAAATTTCAATAACGCCTTAGAATGTAGTGTGGGAGATGATGTTGCGATAAGGATCCCAGTAAAATTTAGTCTCCGCTGAAAGGGAACCGAAAGCCACTAACGAACAGACAAGAAACAACGGCGAATCATAGAAATCCCCCGCGATCTCGATCTTCCTGTTAGCGCTTCGTCTTCCGAAAGACTGAGTTTTACCTTGTTTCGCGCTTGTCCGTGTCACTTTACAACAAACCGGTGTCAAGTCGAACACTTCGACAGCTGATTTCGTGGTTGAAAATGAGATCTTGCGGCGAGAAGTACTGACGAACTGTCGCCATCAACCCTATTATTTATTCTTATAGCGAATTTGTTTTTGATTCAGTTCCAACCAAGATTGGGTATGCTTGATGTCTGACAAAAGTCAGTATGAACGTTTGTTTTTACAACCTGGCTCGGGTTGAGGTTCGCACTGACAATAAGCTCGGGTTCGCACGGGTTGGAACTGGTTCCAACCTGGATAATAAACAAATTCGCTATAAGACGTCGTAGGGGTAAGAGGGGCATAGTGAGCATCCCGTGCACCAGCTTGGACTTCCGGCCGTTCGGAACAAATTTATTGGTGGTAGGATCAATAGGGTTAACTACCCCATTTCCGGCCTATTAAGCACAACCCGCACTTAGTCTTTCTTAATCTAGCGCAGTTTAGCACCAAACGGAATGTCATTATTACTGATGGCTTCCAAATTTATTTTCCTTTCCGTACGAGAAACCAATCGCTGAGATATTGTCAAAAGTCTAACCCTGCTTCTTGACGCCAAACTCGGCCTACGGATTCTAAACTCAGCCTAACGCATTGAAACGCCTATGAAACGCAATTGAATTCACTTCGGCCTATCGGATGAAGATAAAAATTGATTCGGTCGGAGCGTTTCTTTTGTTTTTGGGAATAATGGGTGCAAACCATTAAATCACGCGTTCTCATTGACTTCGTTCCGTAGCTTATTAACTAAAGTATCGTACCAAACACATAATTGACTTGTTAACTCTGAAATCATGGATTTATTTGAAGTTTTCTGCTCGATAGGCCCAAAATGGGCGATTAGGCCGAAGTAGTTCTCTACCCTATCATAATGATATTGAACCTACTACCAGTTGATTTGTTTCATGCAGCTAGAGATCCAGGGCCAAACTGCGGGATGCTCACTATGCCCCACCTGTTCACTATGCCCTCCTCCCCCTACATAGTCAGTGCCGCTACGGCAGTGCTATCTATGGATCGGATGTCCATCCAGCTATTTATTTATTTATTTATTAGGGTTTTTGATCTAATTTCCGTCCTACTAAGCACAACGCGCACTTTACGTCTCTTTTCTGAACAAGTTTTAACTAAAAATGGAATATTTCTGTCAAAGATGTGTGTGTGTGTGTGTGTGTGTGTCATCCTCTATCCCTCACCCAGTCGGGGGCGTTGGACAAGTAGAACTGCGAATAATTTGATCAAATCTAATGCTCCGTAATGGTGCCCTTTATGTTGTGAAGACTAGTACTTCAAAAAGGGTAACTTTTGAGGCAAGACAGGGTGTCCTCAACAAGTTAAGGGAACAGGATGCACTAAATGTCCACAACAGGTACAGCAAAACATCACATAGACGCCCTTATTCACACTAACTACTCAGGGGGTAGAAGGTCAAGAAGAGCCACCGCCGCCAACTAAAGCTTGAACCGGGTACCTGGGACCAGTCTTGTAAGCGGTCACGGTAGTCGACACATTTTCTGTGATAATTGACTGCCTTTGCCTCCGGCACTTGCAAAACAAGCAATCATAGTACAGTACCAAACTAAAATGTCATATGACAGGCTCTGTCATACGACACTGTCGCCGAAGACCGTCACCAATGTATGCATTTTAGTTTTTCTCATAATAAGAGCTGCTGATGTTGTGCTTGTGTGAATTCTGAAAATAGCAAGCAATGATGTCCTAGTAATAATATTTCTGATCAAAAATGGTTTGATTTACACCAAATTGAGGAATTACAACGAAATCACACATGTCAAATGATAGCTATTTTGATAATTTTCTTTTAGTTCGAATGTTATTATACCGCTCGTGTTGTGTGAGAGAGACGACGGTAGAGCATGAGTGTTCGAATACAAACAGACTGTCGCGCACGACAACGAAGCGAGTGTAGTAAAAAACGTCAACTGTTTCAACCCCTGCCTGGGACTCCCACGATATACCCGCGGCAATGGTCAGCAGACGATGCCCTGTACGTATTTAGTATGTAATATGTTTTATTTGGATACACAAAATGGTTGAAGCCATGCGTCTTCTAAACTATAATTTGCATCACCACAAATACACTTGTCAACAATCTTCAACTGGAACGTACTCACCAAATCACTTCACCCGGGAGCGCATTCCCTATGCTTCCCAAGGGGAGAAGGTGGCTGTCAAATACGAACAATCTTCGCCTACCTCGCATAACTAAAGCCCTACAGTAAAAGTATGGACGTCTGTCAAAAGTTGTTCCAATCGAACCGTCAAAATGCACTGCTTTGCTCGATTGGAACAGCTTTTTTCAGTTTTGTGGTGACAGTCGTCCATACTTTTACTGTAGGGCTTTACGCATAACTGGTTCCAAACGTAAACAAGCCATAAGAAACCTACAGGGTTTGTTTACGTTTGGAACCAGTTTCATACAAGATGATCAGTAGGCTGATTTGACAGCACATCCCCCCCAGATGCTTCCACGCATATATTTTTTCCCTCCACTCCAACCACACAACAACCAAATCGACAGTGAGCATTCATAAGGGCGTATACGCGATGATCGATTCTCTTGACCGATTTTCTCTTTGCATTGCTACAGCTAAGCGAAACAATTTTCTAGAATTTGTTCAATGCAGAGTTGTAACAGGTTGTATTGGCTATCAAAAGCAACAGCAAACGCACCGAGAAACGTTAATTCTAGCGAGTTATTAACAAAAGAGAAAATCGACGAAGAGAATCGATCATCGCGTTTACGCCCTTATGCATGCTCACTGTCGAAATATCACTTTTCTTTTTCAAGTCACTCCGTGCACAAAAGCAATGCACATCGCAAAACCCTGACAATAGATCCTGGAATATTTCTGTCAAAGATGACTTCTAAATTTATTCACCTTTCCATACGTACCGTTAGATTTGATAAAGAGTCACACATTGTTGAGATATTGTTTAAAATCTAATACTGCTTTTTGATTCTAAATTCGTTCTACGAGTTTCAATTCCGTCCAAACACCATTAGATTTTCTTCGTCCTACGGATAAACGTAGAAAAAGGGGATTCGCTAGGAGCGCTTCTTTTGTTTTGAGAACAATGAGCGTAAATATTCATACAATGCGCTCTAACAGGATTTATGTTGTAGCTAATGAACTAACGCATCGGAACAAACCTATTTTTGATTTGTGCACGGTGAAGTCATTGATATTATTGATCTTTTCTGATCGATAGAACGGAAATGGGCGATTACGACGATACGCAAATAGGCGTAAAAACCCCGTATCTTTTCGAAATACAAGGAACAATATCAAAAAGAACACGAAAACAGAACAATTCTAAAAATAAACACCTAATAATAATAATAATATGGTCGACAGCATAAAAATTATTCTCGTCCTTGACTTGGAGTAAGTTGTCCTTGGATCATTCAAGTCGAAGCCATCACCGCAGATTTGTTTGGGAACAAACAAAATGAAACAGGTAGCAAAATTCATTTGATGTAGGGGAAAGTGGGGCAGTGGAAAATTCGAATGATGAAACCAAACGGATAGTTTCAAGTCCTATTTACATCATGAATACAAATTCAATATTAAAAGTAACATTCAAAGTGTTTTTATGTTACTTCATACGCGAAGTTAACGATTTTCAAAGTTGGTTGGAAATGCTAACATGAAGCTTTAGTGTGATGATTTATTAGCTAGAGAATGATCTTTAGAAGAGGGTAGGTGGATAGTTCCGTTAGAGTACGGCAGTATGAAAATTGAATAGAAGTTGAAAATGAGCGAAGGGCCATTAATGCGACAGTTTTTCAAGATAGACGCACATTTTTGCCTAACCCGTACGATGTACGCGGGGACTTGAAGTATGTCTCCAAGTCCACAGGCATACTTCAAGTCCCCGCGTACATCGTACGGGTTAGGCAAAAATGTGCGTCTATCTTGAAAAACTGTCGCATTAATGGTCCTTCGCTCATTTTCAACTTCTATTCAATTTTCATACTGCCGTACTCTAACGGAACTATCCACCTACCCTCTTCTAAAGATCATTCTCTAGCTAATAAATCATCACACTAAAGCTTCATGTTAGCATTTTCAACGCTCTATAAAAATTGCTGCTTCTGAATAAAGCTAAAGTTGGTTATTGGTTTATTTAAAACATTAAGTTTGATCCTTACATTTATTTTCCTCCAACAACCGATGACTTCGAAAAGGACATCATGTCTCCAATAGACGTCTTTTTGTTGTAAGCACTCCTATAGTTCGGCTTGCTCAGCTTGTGAGGACTGCTCAATCCGATTTTACACTCTTCAATTTATTTTGGGTATTGAAAATTAGGATTCATATATTGATATTAATCAAACTTACGCTCACAAAGATTAAAAATCCCAATCTCCTAGTAACAAAAATCGCATATTTTCATCTGCCGCCATTTTGAACTAACAAATACGCAGACAGTTTTCACATCATGAGGTCACTTAAAATTTACGTGAACTTCACTTTACATTTATCTGTATAACACTTGAACTCCATCAGTCAATCTAGTGGAATTCATTACCATGCCATTGATATTTATGTGCAGCATGTAATTCTTATTGGATTTATATTTTTGAAAGGTTACCTGATTTTTCAGGTGAAATTTACGTTTCTCGTTAGTTCAGTGTAGCAATTAGGTCAGCGTACTGCAAGGTGTCTACCCGTATACAACTTTTTTAAGTCTGCAAACATCTTTACTCCAATCACCGTAATGAATAGCGATTTACGGTGAGTCTCAGGCACGTTATATGTAATTGAATACGTACTGCAACCTCTTTTCGTAGTCCCTGAATGAAGTATCTGCGATGTATGGCTCCACTGAACCTATGAAGGTGGTCATCTTCTCATTGTCAATAACATTTCTACTGGCGAACGGTGCTTTTTGTTGACGATGGTGATGATGGATGATGCTTACGGTTGGCGGATGGCTATGGCGGCGGTGATGATGAAAAACGTGGTGTCAGCAGAAGCGGGAACAAAATCAATCTCTGGCCAATATACAATGGCTTTCAAGATCGGAAAAATAGAATAATACTTTATAAACTTCCGTATTACACCTGATGTCAGTGACATCAGTGCCAGTGTCAGGGCCTCCCTTAGCTCAGTCAGTAAAGGCGCAGCTACAAAGCAAGACCATGCTGGAGGTGGCTGGGTTCGATTCCCGGTCCGGCCAAGAAATTTTTCGGGTTGACAAATTTCTCGACTTCCTTGGGCATAGAGTAGTATGATTGTACTTGCGACACACTTATACTAATGCAAATATGGTACAGGCATCGAAAGCTCTCAATTAATAACTGTGGAAGTGCATAAGTTGAGAGCACGCAATAAGCTAAAATGCGATAAGTATTAAGCTTGAAATGCGAAGAAGAAGAAGAAGTCAGTGCCATTACATAAACGTATACTACGACGTGGCTACGATATGAATGAAAAGAATATGTGATACCATCACTTCGGGCCACTGTCTTGGCTCCCATGCAGGACAACAGCATGAGATTAAGCTCTCTCACCTTCGGAAAGGTGCCTAAGAATGGCAAATTTAAACATTCTGAATCTTTTAAAAGCATTTAAAATTTCTTTGAACTTCAAATAATAATAATAAAATTTGCAACAAAAATGGAATGATTTTGATTTGGGAAGATGGTTACATTCTATTCTCCCACAGGTGTCGAACAAACCATGGTTCAAAGGGTTGGCCGCGACTTTACACGCGTTATGTCAAGGCTTATGTCCAATAACTATTCGTTAGACTCGCACTTCTATCGAATTGGGCTCTCAGGCAGCAATTTATGTGCGTGTGGCAGTGGTTATCACGATATCGAGCATGTTGTTTGGTCATGTACCCTACACCGTGTTGCCAGATCTGAGTTATCCACATCCCTCAGGGCCCGAGGAAAACAACCCGCGATACCCGTTATAGAGATGCCTTGGCGAGCCGTGATCTCGACTGTTTGAATTTAATTTATGTGTTTTTAAAACGGATAAATCTGAGGATTTAGTAGTTAGTGTCATCTTCTGTTCTCCCAAGTTGTTAGCTGTCCATCGTTGTGCCCCATGTTTTTTTTCATCAGAATGTTGCTTAGTTCTAGATCAAGAGCACATTGCTCTCCAAACCTTGCGTTCTCAATCCCTATCCTGCCATACATTTGTTACAATTTGTTACCCCTAACCTCGAGATAGCCGCGTGTAATCGGCCCCCGCTTTATTAACGTTAGTTTTAAGTAATTTTGTGATCTAAACAATGAATATCGGCTCCGCAAAGCTACAGCAAATGAGCCTGGAAAAATAAATGCATTATAAAAAAATTATCTAAATTATGTAGAGAAATTTACGTCAATCTAAGCAGCGTTCATGTTTCTATTAGCAATTTCTCAGCGCCACGCACTCATATAATATGTCGTGTTTGTTTACATTTATCTGCTGCTTGCTATTCTATCTATTCCAATCGACAGAATTGTCCAAACGGGTCGAAAACGATTTTACAACGCTCCATACTTTTCACGTGAGAGTGAATTTTGTCGGCAGCCTCTTTTACTTCGACAACCTTTCCATTTGAACTGCGTGTTAACCAGCTGTCTATTATCGGCAACTCGCAATCAGCCATATTTTGTATAGTGCGTATATTTCAGTTAAAGAAAAATCCGACATAACAGGAATGCTCAGTCGTAAAAATGTAATCATATTGAAGCTGAAAGACTAAGGAATAATTTGAATGCACTCAGCGATGTGTTTTGATGGGAAAATACAGTGAAATTTGAACGTTAAAATTTTGGTTGCCGCAAACAGTCAATAGGTGCTACCCTAATATCTTAAAACCTAATAAATTTGAAAATTTCTGATGAATAAGGACGGCTTAGTGGAATACCTGTATAAAGAGAGAAAGAGAGCGAAGGATTAGTAATTTCCATTTCATTCCACTTCCTTAACCTTATTTGCTTATCCTTGACAGATACGCGTATTTCGTCTACAATGTGCAGACTTCTTCAGTGTCGACTAATCATGCCGGTATTCCATGTCTTACCACATTAAGTTGTTTTTATGAGAGCGGGAAAAATATGCTGGGTACCCGAGAAAACTGGGAATTTAATTTATTAAATTCAGTGGCCTCCCTGTATGATTTATTCAAAAAAATATCGAATAGACCATTTTGAAAAATTAGGCGAGAGTCAAACTGGCCGAGTTTCAGCACAAACCAGTCTAGTCCATCTCCTAGCAAAGAATTATGCGAAGTTTCATGGAATTCTGAACAGTAAAATCTGAAATACGTTTATTTTTCGCTATTTGGCGTGAATTCACGATAATTCGATGGTTTATGTGTTGGTATCGACTAATAAAACTACAGAAACAAAAGTTTTCCTTGGATACTCCGGAGTCCAATTTTTCCCAGATTTTTTTCTGTTCCACACCTCGATGTCTATATATATATGTTTCGATATGCCATCGAGATACTCCCTTCAATATCGTCCCATAGATTCACTGTAAGAATTAAATCTAAATTAAAGAACAATTTTATATCGTAAAACAAAAGTTCAACCGATCATTTTATTCCGCATTTCAATGTTGACTATCATCGTTCAAAAATCCTAGCACAAGTTTAGCAAATTCAGCAGATTTCTCACTATGCACCCAATGTCCAGCTCCTTCCACGAATATAATTTCCGAATTGGGGAAAAGCTGTTTAATCACAGGAATATCCTTTTTCCTATAAAAAAATAAATGTACTAAGATTAAAAATTAACATTCAAATTACCAACAATCGCGTCCACAAGGATGCTACTACGTACTGGATATAATCCGACCGACCCCCGGCAATGAACAGTGTGGGACCCTCGAATCGCATACCGTCGACGATGGGAAACTTGGCCACTCCGGAGTCAAAATCACGCTCCAACGTGTCCAGATTGATTCGCCACCGGAACGACCCGTCCTCGGGCGATTTGGCCAGATTGGTAATCAGGAAATCACGCAACGGTTTTTCGGCAATAATTTTCGCCAACTGGTCATCGGCGGTCTTCCTCGCCTGGTGGATCGTTTGGTCCGGAGAAATCTGTATCTGCTTCATCGAATGTAGGAATAGTGGGATGTTGGTGTTGCTCGTGCCAAGACCGGTGGCTGGCGAGATGTCGACGATGATGGCACGGTCGATCAGGTGGGGCTGAAATTATGGCGAAATAGAATGATTGATTCAGAAAATGTGGTTTTGTAAATTCTAACATATTGCAAAGCCAGCATCATCATGGCCCGTCCGCCCATACTGTGTCCGATGACCGAAGCCTTCTCTATGTTGAGCTTCTCATACAGTGCCACCAGATCGGCAACTATGTGCTTGTAGGAATGCTCTTCCGAGTGCGGACTTTCTCCATGGTTGCGTGCATCTATTGAATAAATCTGTAAATTGCTTTACATTTGTTATACAGTCAATTAATATTAGGGACACATTTACATACCTTTCTCGTGGGTTTAGTTTTTTGGTGGAAGGCCTTGGATAAACTGTTCCAGTTGAACTTGGAACCGAACAAACCGTGTAAGACTAGAACCGGTGCAGCGTATGTATCACTTTGGATTTTATCGTAGGCATTGAAGGATAGTTCCACGGGAATAGCACAGCGCAACTTACTGCTAGTGGAAAATGCTTTCTTCCCTACAGATTGACAAAAGACAAAACTTTTCAAAAGGTTTCGGTTCATTTCAGGCAAATTTCACGTAAATTTACAACCTCAGGTACAATCTGCACTGGAAGAAATGATCAAAACAAATCATTTACATAACGGTTTGAGTGCAAAAATACTGATAATGATAAATACGCTTGATAACGCCACGCATGCAAGGTGCAACATGACATAGCGAGGACGCAAACCGCTTGCGGCATCTATGTTTGAGTTTCATAAATAAAAATACTTAACTGGCATCGGACGGTTGAGGACACGTGTTCAACATATACTTGATGATTGAACCTACTTGGACAGTCTCGTTTTATTTATGTCAGTTTGATCGCTTGTTCTTAAAACCTATCTTCAGGTTAAGGTTCGCACTGACGAAAAGATCGGTTTCGTACTGGGTTAGAACTATGTGCGGTATCCCGTCCCTAATAAAAAAAATACCATACCCGAACTATAAGCCAAACGCTCGAAATATTATACAAATGGTTTGGATGACACACTGAACACGTCGTTAAGCAAAATAACCATACAATTGTTATTAGGGGTACCAAAGAAAAGTTCAGAATTCCGCGAGGAATTCCGATCTTTAAGAAATATTCAAGATTCTATTAGGTGAAATATTCGAGACATCGGAATGCAATTAAAATTGGCATTAAAAATACATTTTGATGCTTCAATCAAATTCCATGTTTTTGCCTATCGAGTTCATTTTCATTTTCATTTTCAAGCACAGAAGGGGGTCATAGGGCCAAGTCACCAGCGAAAAATCGCTGTCCATACTGCACCAGGGTAGAGGTATAGATTTGGCATCACAGAATAATAACCACAGGGGTCAAATGAATCCTGTTTACGATACCGGATAGTAAGGAAAGCTGTTGAACATAGGGGATAGTCAGAGTAACAGCAATAATAGTGAAAGTTAGGAAAATAGGCAGGTAGAGATGGTTGATTTGCAATGGCTATCGACTCTGTTATATGGCCTACCGTATCAGATTCAAATTTAATGTCGTTTAATATTGCGCTTATTACTTTTATCTTTATTCTAAGCAATCTTCTTTCATACTTGTTTGTTTTAAAGTGAACTGGATGAAATGATTGTTTTATCAAAATTATGTTAAAGTTAACTATTCATATTTGCTAATTAATACCTAAATGTAATTTTTAATTTTATGAAGATAAGTTGCTCAGAATAGCAGCCTGTAATTCCGTACCAGAATCCGCCTCCAATTTAATGTCTTTTGTGGATTCGTAGTAGCAAAGTTGTGTTAAAAGCTAAATAGTTACCTAAAAATACTACCTAAATCGTTCACAATCAGAGCCGGGCCACTGATGAAAACCAAAACTACAACCCTGAAAAAACGAATCGATATTTTCGAAGGCGAACACAACCTATTCTTGCTAGTGATTCTGTCCAATTGTTAGGTATCCAAATTATAGTCATTCGTAAATTTATTATTGAATATATGGATGAATTATCTATTATTGAATAACTATTATTTACGATAATTACATGAAAGAAATAACATATAAACTACAAACAAAACGTGACTACTAAAATCTCAAAAAGATATTCTCACAAGTATATTTCACGCAACCAGGAAAACCATTAGACGCTATAATGATACTCTGCACATGTTAGACACAAGAAAAGGCCAAAAAGCAAGCGTCCGACACACAAAACCCGCCAAATCCACTGGCAGTCACAATCAACGATTCTACGAATCGCGAGCGCTCACGAATCATAAAACCGCCGACTGCGACACCCTGAAAGCGAAATTGACAGGCTCTATGCGTCAAACACCCGCCCTCCAATCTCCTCCCGCATCCAACAACACAAACCTCCATTACAACATCTAACGAATTCAAAACTCCGAAAATCACTCATCTATAGAAAGTGAGTGGAAGCAACCCTGCATGCAACTATTCTTCATGATACGCTTTGTCTGTCTATCTTTCTATTAGGCCTGTGGACATGTGTTAGCTTCGAAACTTCTAACCAAACTAGGAAAATTTTGAAATCACAAAAAAAAAAAAAAAATTCAAAGGTAATTACAAGCAAAATACATATGGGTCATTCCGCGCCAAGTGTACACAGCACATGAAATTGACCTCTTCCGATTTGGACCAAATTTGTAGGGAATGTTCATTTAAGTTTAAATTTTCAAAATCTAAAGTTTTATGCTAATCGGAGCACCCCTCGGTCAAGGGGCGCATTTTCCATTTTTCGTGATTCTTTGGAAAGCACTACTTTCTTTTGTTCATATCTCCGGAACAAATAAAGCTACAAATTGCATTAGGTATTGTTTTAATAAGGAAATTAGACAAGAAATCTAAATCTGAAACTTTTATTTCTGTACCGTGTTGTCAAATATTTTTGTTTGAAAACTTTAAATGCAGTTTTCTCATAATACGTGTCGTTTAATTTTCATTTTAAGGACACCATCGTGTTCTTCATCCTTTTTTACATAAGAAACACTTAACGACAAAAAGTGATTTGCGTAGTTCCTGAGATATTGCATTTTGAATGAATGAAAGTCATAAATTATGAGGGTAAAACTTTTTTTTTAATTTTTTTTTCCATTTCCTCTTCATAAGTGGATTCATTCTCATGACTTATTGTGTAAAATAATATTTAAAGAAAAAAAAAATCTATTACATTACCAAAAACAGTGTTGCCAAATTTAAATATTATTTAGCGACTAAAAACTTTAAACGTGATTTTTTTAAGTTGATGCATCTAAATATTTGGTTTGATTGCACCATCGTGTCCCACAGCATTTTTACATAAGATAGACTATCTTAAACACAGTTCAATGCAATGTAACATTTTCAGAAAACAAATTAAAGAAAAGTGTTTTTTATTTTTCTGATGCATTTTCTAAAGCAATGGAATTAATATCCAAACCTATTATTTTAAAAGTTTTCAGAAGGTAAGTGCACAACGGACCTAAATCGTTATTTTTTGGTACAAGAACGCCAAAATAACTTGTTATTAAGATAAGACATTTTTTATTTTTTTTTATATATTAGGCGTCTATGTTTTAAGCATCTCTGGCGCATCTGTCTAGTTTATTAGAAGTTTGCAGATACCGAGTGGAAAATGGTGTGTTCTATTCAGGGGGTAAGCCACTTTGCCACCTTGTGTGAAACACATCAAAAACACTCTTCGACACACTCAAACACATGAGAACCAATTTTTCAATCTTTTCTGGCAGCACTGCCATTCATTTGATGCCCTTTTTGTTTTTGTTGATTTTTTTTCTGAAGGAGGGACCTCCAGAAATCGGTAGGATTCCACAAAAAAACTGATCGGGACACCGAAGTAGCCCTCACCCCCGCAATTAGGAAAGAAGATTCAACATCAAGCTCAACATTGAAAAACAGACAATTTCAACCTCTAACAAGCTAGAATATCTGTAACTGTATATGAATGAAGCGGATAATAATTATCATATCAATTATTGATCGATAGCTGAAGACAGATATTTCTTTCTAATGTGTTTGATACCCTTTCGTCGTGGATTTCATATACACAATCAGAGAGATCCATCCTACTAGCTGCCGCTTACAAATAGGTTCGTTTTTTTTTTGCGAAATTTAGATCCAGAGATTGCTTAGAAAGGGGCGTGCTCGGTTTGGTTATCTGGGCTTGATTGCGACTGGAATTCGGTTGGGATGGATTCGAGAGGACTTTACTGGTTTGAGCCAGGATGTCAAGCATCATGACATAAGAATGCGACGACTGAGGGAGTACTTTTTGAGATCGGAGTGGACCTCCAGACATACATACACAGCACATTCTTTTAGATAGGTGTTGCGGATGACGATCAGGGTTGCGAATTTGAATTCCTGTAAGTTGTTTACATTGACGTGTGCATTATTTCTGAAATTCCGTGCTTTCACTGTGGATGATTAAATTGGTAAATTTTTGGAGAGCAAAAAAAAAAGAATTCTGATTATAGACAAAAGTGGATGTAATGCTAGCCAGTAAGCAATAATTTTCAATAAACGTTTTAACAGCTAGGTCTACATGCAGAAACACCCATAAACACCTTCCGACACCCTGAAACACACAAGAAACACAATTAAGTGGGTAGATCACCTTTTCGTGGTACGTTAAGGGATGTAAGATCTACCACCGATTCCTAGTCCTGACTACTTCAAACTAGGGGAGCAGGATTTTTCAGTAATCAAAGGAACACCTCTTAGTCCTTGTTACTTTTTATGCCTTGTTGATAGTGACAAGACTTGGATTGTCGGGATTTTTTGCGATAATCTTCTGTCAGCGTTTTGGCTGGTGGCGCTATGCCATCCGGAAGAATTTTCGTTTGAATTATTTCCAAATGTATAGTCCAGTTCAGTTTTTACGTATTCAGTAACCGTGTTGTGCCAGTGTTAGTGATTTAGACCGTGAAATCAGCATGAAAAAAAAAAATTCCCATTGGTTAAACCCTATTAAGCCGTGCCGTTCTTTTCTGGATACTAATTTGGTGAGCTCGTTCCTTAATTTTTGTGGTAATTCTATCGTAAATATTTTTTTTAAATCATTAAATACGCGTCAATCAAATTTTGCGCTACTGTTTTATAGAAAGTTTCAGTACATTATCAGCATCGATACTGTACCGGAGCGGGGCTTATTGTAAGCAAAATCTTCGGATGCATGCGATCTTGAAATAGGCTAATGGGTATACGGTAGAGCTATCACCTTCGAACTCCAGAGTTCAAACATTTTGCAGTCATAAAAAAAATGTTTACAGGTAGATTTTATGCATAATACCACTGCCAGACCACTGCCAGACAGGAGTGTGATTGTAGATACATACAGTACATACAATAAATGAACGAATGAAAAATTGCATCAGTCAAATGTGTCAAAATTAGTCTGCTTTTTTTTTTTTTTTTTTTTTTCATATAAAATCTTTATTCTAATCCTAACATATAAACATGTCTTACAAGCTAAGCTATTCTAAACTAATTACAGGCATTTATTTCTAAGAAGAATTTGAAGCTAGGCAAGGAGATCATATGTCGTTCTGTTTCCAAAATATATTGACTAAACTGAACAAATTTTCTTAGAATCATAATTTTGTCATCCCGGCTAAACTCTTCTAAGGTTGGAGCTATCAAACTGGA